TGAAGGAACTATTGTGAAAATGACAAAAATTCAAACGGAAATTTTATTTTAAACTACCCAGAATAAACTAAAAAATACGGATAGGGGTTTAAGGATATTGATTTTTAAAACGTTTTAAAAGTTCTTTTTACAGAACGAAAATGAGGGCAACGACTTAAAAATGCCACATCTGCCTTTTCAGTTTCTTCTCTGATTTTACAATGACACAATCCTATCCTTAAAAAAATATCATGCTGTTAATGTAAATGTTGAAATAGATAAACTTTCTATTTAAGAAAGTGAAAATTTCAGAGTCAACGTCAAATTCCCGGTTGGGATTCCCTGTGTTTTCCTTCAAAATTCCATTCCCTCAAGAATTTTCCCGGTTTATCCCCTTAGTAGAAACCCTGTTTTCACATGCTTGAAATTTCTTGAAATGTAACACTTTAGAGTTCCCATTATTTAGTTTTCTTGAGCAAAAAATAATAAAAATAACTACAATGGAGCAGAATCGGAAATCAAGCGATGAGAAATGCAGTTAAGCTGATTTTGGTTAAAACTGGCTGACCAAAAGGCGTATCTACACAAAAAAATTATCTCGGAAAAGCATTTAATTTAATTACAACAGGGTTGACTGCTGAGTGTGGTTACCCCCTAATGTCAGAAAGGCGACGCATATAAGAGAGGGAGGGTTGGAAAATTTTACAAGTCAGAATCATTCGAACTCATTCCTGCGAGCGTGGTTTGAAATGAAGTATTTGCGTTATTTTTGCAAGCAAAGCGCTTTCCAAAAACCGCAAACGCTTTGTTTTCAGTGCTTAAGGAACAATTTCAACTTCAACGTTTCTCAAATTGGAGGACCCGTCAAACCGAAGAGCCCCCGCATTCAAGGGCTCATTATTTTTGCTAATTAACAAAAGGTTCCGCAAGTCAATACACCTGGATTTTATGAGGAAAAACGAGTTAAGATCGCGTAAAAAGAGGAGGGATGGTAGTGAAAGTTCAAGACGCTGATGAAAGAACGAAGGAGGAAAACTCTTGTTTAACGTTCGCGTAGTCATTAAATGCTTAGTAATGATATGTTTATGGGAGAACAGTAGATTAATTAAAGGACAATCCGAAAAAGTTGATTGAATCAGTCTATGTACGTCAAACGTTGTCTAATTTCCGCTCATGTTTTATTTTCGAGACAGGAATTTTGACTTGAAATAGGAGTGCATTCTGCAGATTGTACGAGAAATCCGCCGCTTGACTGACGAGGGTGTAACTACACTTAGAGATGAGCCCGGGAGAGCATTGATTTATATGGACGACAAGGTTCATCGCCCAGTGTAGTTATATATACGTCTTTATGTCAGGAGTGCGACGAATTCACGGAAATGGACCTCTAAACAAGGTATGAATTAAAGCACAACACTACGTGTTTTCTCCTCAAAATTCCACAAGGAAAACAAACCACACAATGGAAAATCTGAAAATCATCTCAAGATATGTAAGTGTTTTCTATTAATACTGGTTGAATGGCAAAACTACAAATGACGTTATTTGTAGGTATAATTGAACTTCCGTTTGATCTGTGTTAAATAACTTGTTAATATCTTGTTCAGGAACTGATTTTCAATACTTTTTGTTGTTTGAATGGATTTCTATGTAAGATTTTGAAGTGAAATTATGTGACTTTTTTCTACTTTAGACTTTGCCTACTAGCTCTTTTGAACGGCTCTATGATACTCATTTATCTATTAAAAAAATAAAACTTGAGAGAAGATTGAGCATACCGTGAAATGCAGTTAGGGTGGCTGAGGAGCTCGGAGGACAAAAGGCGTAAATGCATTTTCTTAAAAAATTTCGCTACTGGAGATTTCAACCCTTAAATTGAATTCTGCGATAAATCGAGCTCTCTCTCCGTCATAAGGCTGCATGTAATTCGGACGGATTTAAAGCACGTAATTCTCGAAAAAAACAAAAACTGTCCTGCAGGAGTGCAAGCCCCTTAGTTCTGGTTCCACATGTTTGTCAAAAACATCGAGGAGTAGCAGTCGCTCATCACTTTTCATTATACCTACTCGTGGATTTTTCTCTGCCGAACGAGATTCTACGGAGAGCTAAGAAAATCAAATCACGTCCAAGAGTCCAAGATTCTTGACCTTTCACTTTGATGTAAAGCTATACCTAATTCTTCATTCTCCGTTTCAACCACTCTGCGAAGCTTTTTTTCTCTTCTTTTTTCCCTCGAAAATGGTCCAAGTTCATTAGACGCCAGCATCAAGTGGACGCTGTGTTTGGAGTCGACCAACTCCTGAACCTTTTACTCTCGTTTCGTTCTTAAAATCCTTGATAGCGGAATAAACCCTGTAAAAGCACTTGCGTGTCACACAATGGGCTGGACGCCACTCCTTAACATACTTTAGCAATTTCCAATAAATTAAGTGCACCCATTGTAATTAAAGCCGGGCTCGCAAGATTGATGACTCTCAAGAATTAGCTTGTCACGTCGTGCGGGGAATGCTCGGATTTTATGATGGAAAGTTCAGGTGACTTCTGACGTTGACGCCACGTTCGAGGAGAAAAGTCTCACTCAGACTCAGGCCGTTAAAGTGCGCAGCTTCGATTATAAAAAGCCGCAGTTTTCTTTGTCTATTACAAATAAGACCGTACTTATTTTGACAATTGCACCGCGTTAAGCAGGTAGGAGGAACGTCAGGCATTGCCAGATTTCATCGAACAATTTATTCTTCTACAATAGAACAATTTTGCCGAGCTAAGGAAAAACGCCGTGTGAACTTTCAGGCGTTGCCGAAATTCCTTTGACAAAACGCAAATTTCCTTGAAAACTTATGGATATTTTCTTTCCAATTTTTTCAGATAATTTTGTTCGCAATTTCACCTGACGATTCAGAATATTTTAAGGAAAAATATTCGTGACTAGCCTCGAAAATAAGCATTTTATCGAAGGAATTTTGGCAACTCTCGGAATGTTCATACGGCGTTCTTCCTTAACACGGCAGAACTGTGCAGTTTCTTTTATAAAACCTCAGGAAATATGCTTAAACGTTACCAAAGGAATCCTCTAAAATTTTCAAGACTCTACAATACTGCTCTGAGGCCGTCCCTAAATTACGTAACGTTCCAGGGGGAGGGGTCTTTGGGAAGGCTACGTGGCGTTGGGGGAGGGGGCGCCCTCCTTCACCCTCCTCCTCTGTAGGGCGTTTTGTATTTTATAAACAGTCCCCAGGAATAAGTATAGGGATTTAGACGGAATCAGCCCGACTGCAAAAAAATAAGGAATCGCTCTCCAAGGTGTATACTAAAGCAGGCTGGCCAAAAATCAGTGAGGACTTTTACAGCACTTTTTCAGTACATTTCCAAAAATGTTGGTACCTTCCTGACAGAAAAATACCGTACTTTATAAGTGCCTTCAGCTGATGCAATTCGGAAAATGTATAGTAAATTTGAAATACTCGCTCGGATTGCGACAAAAATGACGTAGCCACAAAATTTCGTCGGTATGGCTTGAGGATTAACTGACTGCACAACCGCGATCTTGCAATCAAATACTGCTCTAAGAATCAAGGCGCAGGAGATTGCATTCATTCAAGGATTTATAGGAAAAAACCGCGTGGTATGGAGGAGGAAATTCGGATCATCGGCTAATTCTCAAATTCCTTTCTCCGTTCCTTCACTTCCTTCTCTCATTCCGTGTGTTCCTTGTTGAACCCGTTATTCCCCGGTCCATTCTACATTATAATCTTTGCAATCGGTGAAAATGTATTCTTTATTCCCGTTTGTGACACTGAGCAGACCTAAAATACGGGAACCAATCAGAAATGGATTCACATTGTCTTGACTCTCAGTATGAAGGGACTCTATCCTGGCCCGAATGCAAGAAATCCTCGGGATTTCCTTGCGAGATTTGGCAAACGAGCACGAGGGCTGCGCACGTCAAGATACCTCTTTTTTAATGCTCGGTAAAAAATTGGTTCGTCAAGTTGTGCGCTGACTGCGATGAAAGTGAGGGTTAGCTGTTAAGTGAGAGCCGTTCGAACCAACAAGGGCTCTCGATGTGAGTTCTCGCCGAGATTTTTGTGCACGTCACGATGATGGTGGGAACCAGAAAGTTTTCACCGTAGAAAGTTGAGCATCCACCAAGCAATTGCGATTTTGCAAGTTCCCGACACTGTTTTCTCTCCATTTAAATCCCTTAAAAAGATCAATTTGTGGGTAAGATAGCTCCTGCCCCAGCAAGAATTGGTTGTTTTCCATACATTAAGATGGAGGAAAAACTGTCCTGCCAAATTTCAAGAATCGCCGCACAGTGGATCGAGTCAATAGGAGAGGTCGGACAAAATTTGGAAACTTCAAACGTTTATAACTCCGTTTGTGCAAAACTTTGAGATTCTGAAAGTAGTTTCATTGGTTTTCCCGTGCAATTTTCTTTCAGATACACTCCTTATAACTTAAAATAAGACGGATTGAACATCAAAATTTGCAGTTTTAATTAAAAATTTAGTAGCCGACCTCTGTAATTGACTTGATCCATTCTGCGCCGTTGCGACTAAGCATCAGCCAACCATGAGTTACAGGTAGACTCGATATACTGCAGTTTGACATTCCCAGTTTTTCCCTGCTTTTTTAAAATTCCTTAATATTTCCCGGTTTCCTCGGTATTCTCTAACTGTGGCAACCCTGTGTGCTCTTACGTCAGAGGGGCGACGATATGAAACTTTTACAATATTTTGGCCATAGAAGAATTCAGAAATGTAGGGTCTTACGGAGGATAAGTTTCCCTGATGGTACATAAAAGCTCACAGATCTAACTTTTATTATTTCAAGTGCGCAAAGCGTCAAAGATCTGCGCATTTTGACATTATTTATATCATTATATATATTTGAACAAATGGATCTGTCTATCTGTGCCGGTCTTTATTTGAAGCCAATATCGAGTATTAATAGAGTTCTATCACATATGTATAAAGAAACTGTGCAAAACGAATCGTGCCACGTGTGTAAGTAATGGTGTAACACGGCGGTTTGTTGTTCGCATCATTTGACAGTGTATTACGCACCGAACATCAGTCATGATCTTCCGTGTACCTCAGATCCTCTTAATTCTTCTTGTAAGTATCCGATTTCCGTTCATAATTTTTCTCTTTTCGAACAAAAGATGTAAATGGCCATGGAATTGCGCGCTTTTCATTTTCATATCGTGGGAGATGCGATATTATTCCCGCGACATTCTAAAAGAAAAAGGAGATTTTACGCGGTATCACCGCCGTATCGCGGCAAATACACGACTGTTCCAGAGATTTTGTGGAATCATTGAAAATTACGCGAAATTCACCTAAGTATCGTGGCATGTACGATCACGCCTCAGTGCCGTGAACAAAAGCGATTCCTACTTCGATGGGAGCATCTTATTCATTTTTGGAAATGCTTTCGATAGAAATTACGTAGAGAATATCGACGCGACTTATCGGTTAATTATTTTTTCTTTTCTGTTTTTACACCGAAATAAATTGAACAAGGTCCGAGTAAATGAAATGTTGAAGCTAAGATCTGTATTTTATCTAAAATTGTGGTAAAAACGGCGCAGAATGACGCGTAGTCCTAGTTTTGTGGCGATTTTAGTGTTGCGCCTTCCAGGATCAGTAGCACGATCGAGTCATCCTCGCAATGTGACGCGCCTTCAATTTAGCTGGACGCAATTTGCCTACATTCATGATCGAATAGTTATCTCATTGCGCCTGCCGTGAGCGAATTGAATAATGATGGCTGGACGCCAATAAAGGCGTATTTTTTGCCGTTTGCAACGATGCACATCTCTGCTGATGTTTCATTTTAATTCAAATTCAATTTTCTTTTCAAAGAATCACGCAGTTTCCGCACAATTTTTACATCAATATCGCGGAAAATTTGCGATTTTTTCATCGATTGGGTGGGCAAAAACCTATGACTTTCCTTCAATTTTGCGTGATACCACATACCTACTCCGGAGTTTGAATAGTTTCTCGATTCATTTCTTCCTGTTGAAAATTAAAAAATTAAGCGAATTTCAGCTCAATAACGAGAGAAGTACGCGATATTTCCTGCGTATACCTGAAATCCTGAGAAATTACCCGCATTTTATCTCGGTATCGCAGAAAATGTGCTATTATTCCCGCGATTTTATAAAGAATAATGGAAAACAATACGCGAAAATCCCCGCAATATCGCTACAAATACACGATCGATTACGCCAAAAATTGACGCCAATAATGTTTCCTCGTAATAGAGTAGCATGTGTAGAAAAAATGCAAAATTTCAGTTAGAGTTACGGCAGTTTGTTATAGGACTACCTTTCAGAGAAAATACGATCCCTCGGCAAACCTCTTCCGAACCATTTTAAAACTTCTGCATCGAACTTTCAAATGGATTCCTTGTGTACGCAGTTTTCAGAAACTGGAGATTGAATGATCTATCCACCTATTTGCAGCTCAGGGAAATGATAACTTCGAACTCCAATGCCTCGAGTTTAAGTTGTTCGGTGTCAACATATTTTCCCGATGAAAGGCCATGATATGGCCACATAATTATAAGAAGTCTTTTCATAGAATGGTTGTAATATTCTAGGCAAAAATGATTATTTAGTAGGGACAGTTTCTTTGATTGTTTACTCACAGCTGTCGGAGCGCGTTGATCAGGAATCAATCCAATGGTTGCACAGAATTACGATAAGTATTAAAAATTCAGTAAAGATGACCATGAAGTTTGGACCTCTTGCGCGATCATGTTCCTCCTTCACTACGCACATTACAAGAGGCTTACTCAAAGAAAAAATAATCTTTGCTTCCATACCGTTCATAGCAGATTTCAGGTCCATCCTACTTTTCTAGTCGTATTTACGGTGTTCTTCTTGTGTTGACAATTACTTTTGTCTCAATAAAAATGCAGCGTTGTTAATACCAAACTATTCTCACCGAAAAAATAATATTGCAGCTGCGACTGTAAGGAAAGATTGGGCCTGAAATTCACTGATAAGTGTTGCAAGAGTCGAAATTTTCCCCCGTATAAAATCGTGTTCATATTTTTTCCCGCAGGTAATCTCCTTGGGTAGCATCACCGTGCACACGAAACCAGATTTTGAAGGAAACAAACCCCGTGTTGACACTTGCACACCTGAAGATAAAAGAAATAGGGTATGTTCTGTTGAACATTTTTCAATCGTCACCTTTCAAGTATAACTTGGCTGTGTCATGTTAGCATCATCGTGATCCTAATGCCTATGACTCTTAGTTTAGTTATTCGGTAAAAGGACCGCCATACAAGATCTGAATGAGTGTTTGACACCCTTTGAGTAGGCATTTAACACGTGAAATTGCAGAATCAAGTGAAATACACTTGAAATGTGTATGATCCATTTCTCAACGCAGGATTTGCGTAGTGCGTGCAGCGCATTTTCAAATTTACCGCGTCCGTCTCTTAACTGTCGATCATCACATTATTTTGCTTAGAGGGAAACGTAAGAAAAGAGCCTCAATTGTTGAACCATATTACTTTATGGGTTTCCATTGCGCCAAATGACACAGAAACAACTCCTATATACTCATGTAAAGTCGCATCAATTTTACTCTTTATTTACCGTTAGGACAATTTTTCCTGGCCATCACAATCACCTACTGACTAATCTGTTCTATGTTTGCAGCGGTGTCGTTAAAATGGAGAATGAAGACCAGTGGCGTGGCATGAATGATTGATTATCGATATATTTCCCCATTTGAACCCGAGGTAGGGAATCGATTATTTTGGAGTTCGCTGCGAACACCCTGTTAATCGATCCTTTTCCATAGGTTAAAATGACAGATCAATCGATATATCGCAAGACACGCCACGCCACTGATGGAGACTAAGTACCCCAAAGAGTCTCAAGGTCAGCATCTACAATCTGAGCATGACACAATTTTTCAAGATGTGTGTTACGAGATACATTCGAATGTATATTGATGAAAACTCAACCGACAAACCCATACTGAAATATTTTTGAAATGATGAAAGCACGAAGACCATGGACGGAACCTAACGCAATTTTTTCTTAAAATAAGAGAAATCGTAATAAATTGTAACACAATAATCATGTTCAGTTTCACTTCCAGATTAATTTAACGTTAGGTATTAGGATATTTAACTATCCATATTGGGAGTCCAAATGGGAAATGCCGCCAGACAACGTCATTAGACGGTGCATTTTCTCACTTTTAAATATTTTTTTATACAATTTCTCATATCAGAAAAAATTGTAAAAAATACTGTGAAATCAGCTCTTCGAGCACTTTCAGACGAAGCGGTGCATGCAAATTCTCCATTCTACGTAAACAGGGAATCTCCCATTTATTAACCCGCGGAACCGACAACCGGGGAACATAAAAGTGGAACCAGGAGGGAGGTCGGCAAAACATTCACTCCCAACAACCCAGTTACGTTTGCGCCGTCAAAACAAATTACCGAAAGTATCATGGGTTCGGGAGGGTCGGAACCAAACCACACTGCATCCTTGATTTACGAGCCGAGTGCCGCGGTCTCTCGGTCATACAGTCTCGTTACATCTAGAACATAAACAGCGTAACTAAACCTGGAGGCGAACCTTAATGACCGTATGAATACGTGCTTTCCAGAGTCCATGCGGGGACGGAGTTCCGCTCTTGTGTTAAAAAAGCCACGACTCGGGGTTGTGTTGGTGTAAGGAGACTAGACTCGGGCGGCTAGTTCCCGGATGCATTTCTCTGATGCATTTCTCCGATGCATTTTGCATGAATCGACGCGTTATCTAACGCTCCTGCCCTGTCTTCCTTCCCACCTCGTTATTGCTCAACTCCGAGACAATCTTGGACGATTCCAGGGTGCACTTTCCCGTCGGATGCAGTCACATTCTCGGGCGTGTCTCCTGAGAAAGAACATGCGACCGATTTCTTTATTAAGGAAACGATGTCTCTCTTTACCTGTATCGACCTATAATCCAGTGGCGTGACGCACTTTGCGCTAAATCGATTGATTTGCCATTTAAACCCATGGAAAAGGATCGATATAAAGGGTATTCACAATGGAAACTTTCGTAATTGATTCTTCACCACAGCTTTAAATGGGGAAATATCGGTTTTCGGTTTTGCCACTGCTATATTCTGTAACGCTCGAGCGTAAAAATTATGCCGAGCAGGTAATGCGTTCTACGTAAAAATTTGCATTCGAATTTACGAAAAAAATATTGTTAATTTTAGCTCATATTGTGCAAAACAGTTGTATGATTCGTATTATCTTCTGCATGCTTGCTTTGTTACGTGCCGGACGGAGAACAAACAAATTTTAAGGTCAGAGATTGTATTACAAACATGAGTAATTCTCAACTTGTCCAGTAAATACATTCTTTTTCCAATCACAGCTCAACAAAAAGAGTTACCGATATCGGACAAGGTGACTTGAAGTTCATTTTGAACAGTGATTCGCATGGAAAAAGAAAACTTCAAACCTATCCTTCCCTGTTATAACTATACATTGGCGGCTTTAATTTATTTATGCTAAACCCGGCCGAATGGGCCTCTAAGGTATGTGAATTGGATTGCATTTTGAAAAAAGGAACCAGGAGCATTCCATTATCGCTGAGGTTGTGCAACTTTCTTCACCCTGCAAATATAAACCGATCATCGATACAAGTTGTATCTTTACTCTCAATAAACTATGAATTTAAGACGAAAATCACCTTTGTTAGTCTGATTTATTTCATTATTTTAGTAATTTTATTGCAAATCATGTATGTTGCACAATCGCAACAACAACAATTCTAATTTCCGACATTGGAATGCTCTTAGTTCCTTTTTGCAAAATGCAATCTATAATTAACACACCACGCAAAATGGTTCCTCTTCACACTTTCACGAGAAAAACGAATCATGCAATGGGAAGTCTGAAGAACAATTCCAAAACTAGATGGAGGCGTTTACAATTTATATTGGTTGTATTGAAAAAATACAAAATACGTCATTTATATAATCTAAATTCCGTTTGACTTGTGTTAAAAATACTCGTTACTTCATATCTAGTGCAGGAGTCCACTGCCAACTTACCGTTGTGTGAAGAGCTTTCCACGTCAGATTTCGAAGAGAAAACTTTTGACTTCATCAAGGTTAAGACCTTTTCTAGTGGACCCTTCTCAGACGATTCGACGGCTACATGCAATTGTCCATACGCAATGCAGATCAACCTAATCCCTGATTTCTGTTGCTAGGAAAATGCAGTTTGTCATTCCTTTGACATAAGAGCGTAACACATTTCACATGTGAGCTCCCTGGAGTACCGAATTGTACAGGCGCTAGGGTCCTTCTAAAAAAAAAAACAGCTTTACCCTCAAACGTCAGAAGAAATTTACTTTCAGCTGATTCATCCTTCCTAATTGCGTCGCCCTTTAAACGAAAATTGGGCGTGTGTCAATAACGCACGTGAGCCCTGTGGTCCGTATAAAAACGTGTTTTCCAGGCCTCAATTGGAAACGGAGATAAGTCCTTTCGAAGAGGAGCTACCATTTGCGGCACCTCGACGGAACGTCTAAATTAGATTCCCTATCTTTCTTTGAATAGATCTCCGAAAGTGGAAGCGGATTACGTTGATTCGGTGGTCACAGCGTAGCAGCAATGTTTACAGTCATCGGTTTTATTTTGCCGTACTTAGAAAAAATGCCGTATGCGCCATGGGAAATTGCCAAACTTCTTTGCATAAATCACAACTTTTATGAACACATTCAATCAAAGGTATAAACTGACGCGTAGAACACAATGCGCACGTTGAAAAAACGGAGAGGTAACTTAGAAACCGAGAAATACACGGTTCAAAAAGCGCATTTTTCCGCAAAAAAAGGTCTCGGTTTCGCGCCGACCCGAATGATGTCGTTCGGCACGAAGTCGGTAGCGAGCGAGGGTTTTTACGACTTCCATCAAATGTCATCTTACCCCTCGTAATATCTTCAGTGATAAGAGAGACACAACGCAACAACCCGAATTCAGAACGATAAAAGACAAGAAATACACAACGAATGACTTCACGATGCTGTTTATTCACTCTGTTTTTAGTCATGTAGGTAAACTCATTTGTTGTGTATTCCTTGTATTTTATTGTAATCCTCAGTAAACGATTAACAATTCAACATTGAAACACGTGTTATTTTCACCGACATCAGTAGAAAATGAGAGGAGCTGGCAATTTATTGACTGCACAGTACCTCACTGACTTTGTTTTCCCGCCATTTCGGCGCGTTTGAAAATCCTTCGAGTTCCTGGACTTTTGAAAAGCGGACTTGTCCATGATTTCGACTGCAAAAATACGGATTAAATCGCCGAGTAATCTCCTTTCCTGGACTTTTGGAATATGAAATAAAAGACACGTGGTTCAGTGACTCGTTGTATTTGCATTTCGATCGAAAGTAGGACTTTGCAAAGTTCATGAGCAACACTTGCAGAGGAATTGTTCAACGAAGCTGCGAGCCAATTATTCACTGGAAAAAAAAACCACATTGGATCTAGAGTCCAGACTCTTGAAAACATTGACAAGAAAAAATACTCTTGATTCAATCAGATTTTTGCTTAAATCGAAAGGAAATCCGCTCAAATAAAGAGGCTTGGTTCTTGATATAAGCAAAAATCCGATTGAATCAAGAGTATTTTTTCTTGTCGATGTTTTTAAGAGTCTGGACTCTAGATCTAGTGTTTTTTTCCAGTGAAATATTCAAGACTTTCTTAAAAATAAATATTTCAGGAGAAACTTTGGCAACATCCAAAGGTTCTTACGGCGTTTGACAGTAAATGCGATTGACTTCGAGTGAAAAAAAAAAAAGAAAACTGTTTCGCAGGGCATTTCGGAAACACCGGTTGGCCACGATCGGATTACCGAGGCGAAGCGGACCTGAGAGAAGCGAGAAGTCGCGGCTTAAGATTTATCCAAAGCAGCCGCGGCGAGCTTGATTTCCTGGTCAGGAGGGCAGGAACAAAAGGAGGGCTGAATCGCCCGCTGAGGCGAAAAAAGGAGGGCGATAGACGGAGTAACGAACTGGAAGGAATGGCAACTTGAAGTGACTAATTGTGACTGCGTATGTTACGATCGCGTACTTCGTTTCTGGTTCGGCCGCGCTTTTACGAAACCGAAAGTCTCGGAGGCTCGACCGGAGAAATGTAAAGGCACAGCTAACTGTGCCTGAATACGGTTCTAAAGCCGTATTTAATGTCGTTCTTTGAATAGCACTATTCCTCAAATTACATGATAATCATGCTCGTGTTGTCGTAAAAATCGCGTATTTCCCGAGATATTACGGTAATTATCGGGTAATTACTAGTTTTTTTTTACAGAACCCCTGGAAAAATCGTGCATTTCCGCGATTCAGAAATGAAAACCGCGTAAATGTTGAGGATTGAAGGAAATCGCTGGATATATCGCGTACTTCTCGCGATATTGAGCTAAAATTTGCTTAATCTCTTAATTTTCAACAGGAAGAAATGAATCAAGAAACTATTCAAACTCCGCAGTAGGTATGTGGGATCACGCGGAATTGAAGGAAAATCACAGGTTTTTGCCTATCGTATCGATGAAAAAATCGCATATTTTCCGAGATATTGCGATGTGAATATTGTGTGAAAACTGAGTGATCCTTTTAAAAGAAAATTGAATTTGACTTAAAATGAAACATCAGCATAGATGTGCATAGTTGCAAATACGGCGAAAAATACGCCTTTATTGGCGTGCAGCCATCATTATTTCAATTCGTTCACGCCAGGCGCAATGAGATAACTATTCGACCATGGGTGTAGGCATATTGCGTCCGTCTAAATTGAAGGCGCGAAGATGACTCGATCGCGCTCCTGATTCTGGTAGGCGCGACACTAAAATTGCCACGAAACTAGGACTACGCGTCATTCTGCGCAGTTTTTACCACAATATTAGATAAAATACAGATCTCAGCTTCAACATTTCATTTACTCGGACCTTGCTAAATTTCTTTCGGTGTAAAAATAGAGGAGAAAAAAGAATTAACCGAAAAGTCTCGTCCATATTCTCTACGTAATTTCCATCGAAAGCATTTCCGAAAAATTCCCCTAAAATCTTCGTGTAGCTTTTTAAAATAAGTTGAATTAATAATTATTATTTACCATCTTTAGTATCTGTCAGATAATGCTATATGCGGCACTATGCTAGGCAAGGATTAGTTGAATCAAGACCTATCGTTATAAGCTCTGTTCGTAGTAGGTTGACGTCTTTTTTGGATTTAAAAAGTACCTGACCTTTTAGCAATTTCGAACATAAAAATGCTAGAATTTCCCAGACTCTCGAGTGTTTTTGTTGGTAAGATTTCGGATAAAAATTCTAATGGACCACAAGACAAGGTACGAATTTAAGCATTCTTATACTTGTTTCTTAACCAGAATTTCACGTAAAACACGCTTCTCGCATAAAAAATTACTGAAATCAATTTCTAACTAAGATATTAACGTTCTTATTGTACATTGATTCCTGGAAATTTGGCTTGTCCGGTCACAAGAAACACAAAACTCCAGACGTGAGTAAAATCGCGCACTACAACGGTTTTGGCAGGCTTCTGAATCAACCATTGCTCATTTTCCACCCTTTCAGTGTAAACAATTTGCTACAGCTAAGCCATACCGTCAAGATTGAGATTGCCATATTTTTGTATCGCAGAAACTGCTAAGGTAACGTTTATAATTTGCGATCTGACGTACTCCGACCATTGTGTTCTCATGAGCGGGAGGTTTGAATTCACACGTCAAAAAACATTAAATATCTTAGTAACTAGGAGTTAATTTCAGCAATTTTCTTCCCGCGAATCGTGTTTTACGTGAAATACAATCAAAAGGAGGTTTTCAGTTAATTCAGACGCATATTAAGTCACTTTTTCTTCTAATGAAGTTCAAAAATCATGCTAAACGTTATTGAGAACAGATACTCGGACTCAGTAAGTTTTTCGACTACCGCCCTCTCTTTGCCATCCTCACTCGATTTAATTTGCGAGGGAACTTCGTGCTTTCGAAAGATACCATCAATCATGTAACGTTGGGGTGCCTTCAATCTCGTATGATACTGTACAACAACTCCGTGGAAAAATAGTAGCTCGAAGCGTCGCAGCACGCTGGCGCCGTCGCGAAGTTATCGTACACAGGAAAAATTTAAGAGCCTCTCGCAAATTAAAAGGTTTATCCGGTTCAGGTATAACAAGATGGGGTTCTCTTGAAAGATAGTTAAGTCTGATTACATACCTATTAGTAGCTCGTAGCGGGCAAGCTGGCAATCCTGCAACAGAAGAATTGAAGAAGAAAATAATTACTGTGTTTGTAACTGGGCAATTAAAGTTTCTACAATTGGACGTCCGTCCGGATAATCCTTTGAAAATTTTAAGGAATTTGTTCCGCACTATGCAAAAACACACTGAAATTTGCACAAAAATCCGCACAACCATTGTCACGTAAAAAATTGAATTGTCCGATTAAATTTGGAAATAACTGGTGTGGCTCGGTTCCTCTCTGCCCAACGGGTTATAGAATATTTCGGTAAAGATTTTTCGTCTGCGAGCCTGTTTTTATCTAATATTTTACGTCAACGCGTCTTTTCAACACGGGAACTGTGGTTCACCTACCTATTGAGACTCAAAGTTCATTGGTCCACTTGTAAATACAAACGAAAATGGCTCACGACGTCTTTGGATGGAAATGTAAAATGTCTCGGAAGAACGACAGTTTGTTTGTTTGGTCTTGGCCCAACTGAGAAAAATATAAAATTGAGATTTTTGGTAAAAATGAGGGAGCGTCAATTCCACGAGGGAAGACTCACTTAAACTCCCTGCGCCTCTTTGGTGCATCAAGACTTAATTTTGTTTCAAGATAATCCCATCTTGTGATAACTGAACTGGATAAACCTTTTGATTTGACTCAGCTAAAGGCTCTTAGATTTTGTCTGTGTGCGATAATTTCGCGGCACCGGCGTGCCGCGGCGCTTCGAGCTACTATTTCACCACGGAGGTGGTGCACAGTATCATACAAGATTGTAGGCACCCTAACGTATCATGATTGATGGCATCTTTCAAAAGCAAGAGGCTCCCTCGCAAATTAAATGGAGTGACGGCGACAAAAAGAGAGAGGAGTCGAAAAAGTTACCAAGTCCTAGTATCTGTATTCAATAAAGTTTTGCATAATTTTTGGACTTCATTGGAGCAAAAAGTGACTTGATGAAGCAAAAATATGCTCATATTCACCGCCGAGAAGATTTCCTAATGAATCAATAAATCAAATAATGCTTGTTTAAATGAGAAAAGATGCTTCTATAAAAAGAAAAGTCACGAACATCAAGCAGAAACCAGCTTTCATTCAGCTATTTTATTCTTGATTCAAAATAAAATCTTCTCAACGGCATGCCCAAGAATGTTTCTGCCTAAATCGAGGCACTTTTTTTCTAATAAAATTCAAAAATTATGCAAAACGTTATTAAATATGGATGCTAGGATTTAGTGAATTTTTGGACTACCGCTCTATTTTTGTGGTGTGGTATCTTGATTTATTTTGCGAGGAAAGCTCCATACTCTTGAAGGATGCCTGTTTTTCTTAATATGTTGGAGCGCCTTCAATTTCGTATGCTACTATGCAACACCTCCGTGGTGAAATAGTTGCTTGAGGCGCCGTGGCACGCTGCAGCGCTCAGAGCGCACTGGCGCCTACAAACCTATGGAGATACTTCAAGCTTACGCGAATACTTACGCGATGCGTGAAGTATCCAGTTAGGTTTGTAGGGGCCAGTGCGCGCTTCGCGCTGGTAGCACGCCGCTCCGCTGTGTTTGGCACTAAAATTTAAACACGATTCTGACGCTGCAGCGCAATTGACCCATTATTCGGTTTGTGTACACTGAAAAAAAAAGATTGGTAGAATTTACCATTCCTCCACGCTGTATTTCACATAGCGTGAATTCAAAGTCGATTCTGCCAGAGGAATGATTACCCGTACCATTATGTGGACCGCGTCTAACAGAAAGGTACCAAGCCACATCAGGTATTGCCAAATTTAACTGGGTAATTTAATTTTTTACGAGGAAACTTTTGTGCGGATTTTTTTGAAAATTTCAAGGAATTCGCTTCGCACTACGGAGAAAATTCTCTGAAAGGACCCTACAACAAAACGGCCAAATCGGCCTAGACATGGAATCGTACGATTCCGTGTCTAGGCCGATTTGGCCGTTTTGTTGTAGGGTCCTTTGCATGAAAATCTGCACAACCGATTTCGTGTAAAAAATTAAATTGCCCGGTTAATTTTGGCAATAGCTGATGTGGCTTGGTTCCTTTCTGTTCAACGCGGTCCATAAAGTAACGCTTACCTTTCTCCTGGCAGAATTGACTCTAAATTGACGCTGTGCGAAACACAGCGTGAAGGAATGGTAAATTCTACCAATCTTTTTTTTTTTTTTCAATGTAACCGCGAGGCTTTTCTCTTTTCTTCCTTCTCTTTTTTTTCTCTATCCATGGTCCGCGTTTCCTCCATTATACTTCCTGCAATGTTTCGGCCTTTCCTTTGGTGAGCCCGACCCTCACCAACATCGAACGCTCCATTCATCGAGGCCAGTGCAGCGTGGCACTCGACTCCGCGCGATGTGACGCACACCGCCCTCGCTGTCCAACGCTCCCTCCCGGCCGCGCGTATCAAAGGATCCGGCCGGTCAAGGACTCGCGAATCCGAGGATCGCCGCGATTATCGGCCAATAAAGATTCCCGGGATGTTAACAGGTTCAATTTCGTTCAGATCTTAACTCGAGGGCTTGCGAAACGGAGCAATTGAATTAGCTTTATGGTCGGAATTTATTCGCATCGTCCCGCGAGTTTTCGCTGTCGCTTTGAATTTGCCATTTCAGTTTTTACCCCCCCCCCCCCCCCCCCCCCCCCCCCCCCCCCCNCCACCCCCTCCTCTCCCCTCGCGTGGCACCCCCAGAGACAGCCGTCGCTCCTCGGTGTGCCTCCTTCAACTTAAGAGCAATTTATTTAAGCTCTCGGCCCCGATATTCAGGAATATGCATTAATTCAAGCTCGTGAGCTCCCCCCCCCTCACCCCCGCCCCTCTCCACCATCCTCCGCACAGTAGATCGAGTCAATAGGAGAGGTCGGACAAAATTTGGAAACATTAAACGCTTATAACTCCGTTCATTCAAAACTTTGGGGTTTTAAAAGTGGTTCCATTGGTTTCCTTGTAAAATTTTCAACCGAAAGCACCCATTAAAGTTAAAATCGTGATGGGATAATCGTAACATTTTACAATTTTTGTCAACAATTTCATGTCCGACTTCTACCACTGACTCGGTCCACTGTGCTCCGTTTCAATACTGCCGTGCTGAAGGAAGGACGCCGTATGGGCATTCAGGAGTTGCCAAATTTCCTTCGATAAAATGTTTATTTGTTGGGAAAGTTAGGGATATTTTTCTTTTAAATTTTCAGAATCTTTGGGTAAAATTGCGAACTAAAGTATATGAAAAATTGGGAGGAAAATATTCATAAATTTACCAGGAAATTCGCGTTTTATCAAAGCGAATTTGGCAACGTCTGAAGGTTCATACGGCGTTTTCCCTCAGGACTGCAGAGTATCTATCGCTCTTGAGATGCTTTTGCACGGTGACGGGTGAAATTTCTGAAAAGTTGCTTCGTGCGTTTCAGTGCGTGTCGGAATGCCTCTCGCTTTCAGCTCTGCGGGCTGATTCTTGAAATTGATAGACAAAGAGATAGATAAAAAAGACACTGGGAGTATGGAGCGATCCTCTCAGTTGCAACTACTGACCCATTATTGAAACTGCTCGCTTGTCACATAGATGACATGGGTTAAATGGCGGAGCGTAATTGGTCGGCTGTGTCTTGTTGCTGCTTTCGCACGACAAAGCACACGGTAAAAAACGGATTGTTGATTTAACAATTTTGTAGTTGAAGAAAGTGACTGCAATGTTTCAAATATACATTTTACAATAGCGGAAGGCTAATTTACACACGGGGGTGGTTAAAGTGGCATTTTTTTTTTTTTTTTGTAAAAGCTACATTGAAACATCGCAGTCACTTCCTTAAACTAGAAAATTGTTAAATCAGCAATTTAATTTTTTCGTGCAGCAAACATTTGCCAAATTTTAGGTTTTTTTTAGCTGTATCTAAATTGAACTTTGTCCAACCCATTGAATTTTTGTTTTCAATTTATTTCATTTTTTGCAGTGTCAATCATTGTATTCTAGAATATATATTTCTGGAGTTACACCGATGAATTTCACTCGAAGTTTTTAAATAATTATCCTCGTCATCAAGCTTTGTTCAAGGGCTCCTTAAACCTCCAACCTCCGGGATCATCACAATGTAAATCATAAGAGCCCTCCTCGAGAAAAGGACTTCTAGGCGTAAGGTGCGATGGATATGGCGAATTCAATCACGCAACTATTCGAGCTCGTAGGATGTTTCCTGGCCTACACTGTTGATTGAAGGCGCGCTAGACTCGTTTTCTGACTACTAGCAACTGCTCGATACTACCAATGAAACAAGTTGTTTGCGGGGACCGTAGAATTTATTTTCAAAGTGACCCGTATCGCGGTTCGATTGAGGTCAAATATATTACAATTCATTACATAAAAAAAGAAATTGTTTTTTGTTTTTTGAGTGTGGTGATCGTTGCTACCCAAGTATGGTTCTCAACACCATTGATTTCTCTCAATATTGGATGGTTACGTATTTTTTGCAGACAGCCCAAAACAGACAATGGGAGAAGATTAGCAACTTCAATAAGGGCTCGGAAGTTTCCGAGTTACAAGGAAAATGTCTCCCATTTGTATCTCGAGAAAAATAAATCCCGTACAGGGCGGGATCTTAATTCGTCGTTCCTCGGACGAAGGAACGTAACTTCATTCCATAGTTGCCGAATTGACCAAGACAATTCAATGTTTCACGAGAATACACCGATGCGATTTCCGTCCAAATTTGTTCCGATTTTCGCATGAGATCTGAAGAAAAATCAGTGGAACTCTCGGATGGAAACGCCCGGGATTTTTCCGGTAAAAACGCAATTTACGAGGGAAAATTCGGCAACATCGAATTGCAGTTACGTCCTTCCGCGAGGGGCACGACGAATTGGACTGCATTTTGCAATTTGGAACTATAAATTCTGGCTCATCTGAAAAAAAAACACTTATGTGCATAGAGAAACTAATGGCACATACGTTGTTTTTAAACCGGGCTAGAATCTATAGGTCCAAATTGCAAAATGTAGTCCAATTGTGGAAGCAATCAGCAAATGGACAGGACTCACCTTAAAATAAAACGCGACGCTGCACATGTGAATCGGTCTTATCCGCGCCATCCCGAGCCGTTAAAAACTTTCAATCGCCCCTCGGAGCTCGGGCGAGCTTTGGTTCGGGAAAGTTGCGGTGGCGCTCGCTTCTTCTAGTCCAGAGTTGCCGGATTTCACGATAAAATTCGCCGGGTTCGAATGAGCCTTCAAAGGTACCGCACTGGAATTTATACCGTTTAACTCGACAGCGTGCCTTCGGCTCTCAAAGGCAAATTATACACGTTCGGGTCCAGTCTAATCAAACTTTTTCTCGGCCCCCCCGCGCACAAAGAAAGGCAAGCAAGTTGGAAGAGCTAAGTTTTCGCGCCGGGAAAGTGGACTCGGGACGAGTTGTGACCGTTAAAAGGGTATGTAAAGTTTCTTTCTAATATGTGAGCATTTCACCGGTCTTCTTTAAGTTCCCGTCATTAAAATGCTTTTATTTTTTTAACGATGTTGAAAATCGACATTATCTACTTGTGAGGCTGACTTTGCGTGACCACCTGGATAAATTATAAACGACAGAGTGATTTAGAGCATTTTTTTCAAGGCAATGATATCCAAACCTCGGCTTTAAATTCAGGGGTGCTGTTTGGGGATAATAGGAGACAGTTTCACCCCCTAAATTCTAAGTTTTAGCGAGAATTTTTTCAGCTTTTACCCTTTGTACTGTATTTGTTGAAACCTTTAGAAGTTTTGTCTCTCCTCTCAGTAAGCCCTGTGCTTCATCGATATACTTTGTCCCCTCTTCCTCTTAAGTCAGCCGAAATATCCTTACTTAAAGAAGAAAATTTTTCCACAAGCGAGTGAGTGAAAGGAAAAATAAGTTAAAAAAGGATTATGAAAAACACTTTTTGTTGCGACACAAGTAAAGCGATTATTTCTCCGCAAAGAATGAAAGTTCGGAAAGATCTTCGTACTTGAGATTAGCTAAAGGGCATTAATTATTTTGTAGATCAAATTTGATCACACACACGCACCCTCATACAAATATAATATATATGATATATTATCTAACATAGATATATATTTCACCGGCCACGCAATTTGAGCTCGGATGCGTTTATACAGTTTTGTCCTGATCCGCACAGTTTTTTTAAAAGTTTCTCATGAACTGCGTCTCAGTGCGATTCGGGTGAATTGTTGAGCTTCTCTTAGATTCCTGTATTTTGGCAGGAGTCGGTATTTAAATCACTTTTCATTTGACATTATTATCCGTGAGGGAAATTAAATTATAAGCAAAACATCGAACTTCTGATTTCATTGCAGGTCAAATTCGCTCAAAGTTCGCGGCAATTTTGTAGCTGCCTGATAAAAGGTGGTGCCTGACGGATACAAATTTTAATAGCATCCTTATTATGTGTGATTGCATATCATGTGTAGGAGCCACATTTGTTTCAGTAAAAAGTTTTGTTTCGATGAAACAATTCTTGTAAGTTTCTCTAATAAGAGAACGAAAAGAGGAGCAGCATGTTCAACTGTAAGAACTGAACTCGTTGTGGTACTGCTGATAGCACTAAAATTCACACTGCTAAAACAGCGAGCGTGCACATACAAGTTTTCACGTGAGACGAGAAACCTATATGTATAGATAGACATGATTGAGATATCATGTAACAGTGCTCATTTCAAAACGTCCTACCACCGCTCGTCTGTTGACGCAGCCGCGAAATGAGCTTAATTTGCTAGCTGTTCGAATTACATGCAAATTTTCCCCTATTTTCGTTTAATCCGAGATGGAATTTCTGCTAATGAAATGCTAATTTTCTACTAGTGAGTTTTCAAAATTGGAGGAGGTAAAGTATGTAGAAACCAAAATTACTAATACTTTCTCGAGCTAAAATTTGAATTAAGATTTCTCTTTTCTCTTTGGAGGGGAGGCGGTGTCCCAGGAAATGGGTTTAAAATTTGTTTTCAATTTTTTTAAGATTTGGATGACGTTTTGTCAACGAAATTGCACGGGGAAAAATTGAAATAGCCGGTTTTTTTTTTTTTTTTTTTTTTTTTTTTTTTTAAATATCATTTTTAATTTTATCCTGCGTAAATGATACTAATTTATTCGTGTCGTGGGTCTATGAGGCCAATCCTAAATTAAGCTTCGGCCACGGCAAAAACATTGGTTTAAAATATGTGAGGCCTGGAGTGCCACACTTCAACTGAAAGAATTTCATCCGCACCGATTTATTTGAGCAATTAGAACTGTAAGTTAGGTTGCATGATTAGTTTCATCACATTCACTCTTTTTGTAAAAATATCTTTCATTGCTTCCAAAATAGGATTCTCTGCGATGAAATTGTACTATCATAGTCGTTTCCTTTATCGGGTTTTTTAATTTTTTTTTTTTTTACTTTATTCACATTTACGATTATTTTAGTGTATTTTCCGAAGGAAATACACTATTGCATTCTCCCATGATGTCGGACCCAGACCTGAGACATTGTGAAGAGCACCGATCACGGGTCGTAGATCACGAAAATATATGCTATTCAAATTCATGTGTATATATATATGTATGTATATATGTATGTNTCTTCCTACACCAAAAATGTTCATCACTGTATGGACCATTCTTGTACCATACACCATGTGGGCCCCTAATTTCATTAATTAACGACAAAATCTCAATTTATGCTCAAAGGTGATTTTCAATTCCACATTTTAAGTAAAGTTGCATACAAATTCAATGAGAGATTGAATTTTGCGTCAGTTTCAACTAGCCAATGTGAACCGATTTCACATTACATTTAGTCAGAAGAGTTTGACTCTTACACTTACCTTAAGTTCAAAAACAGGTGCGCATTTTAATTACAATCCTGGCGTGACAGCTACTTTTCAAGACTGACAATTCTTTTTCCTTTCCGGGTATCGGTTATTTTTAAGCTTGACCTCGTCGTGTGAAAATTTTCCCACGTCACCGAAACTTTCGTAAAAAGCGCTTGAAATAATTCCGAGCTTTCATTTCAGGGAGTCGAAGACTTTTTCGAAGCAAAATTTGATTTTTTAAATATATGCCGGTGATGAAAAATTCGAGAATATTGAATGATGCAGAAGAAACGGCCTAACGAAGGGTGGGCGATGGGTTTCAAGAGCAACGGAAAAATCACGCGGGGTGGTCGCCTCGAAAACCTCGTAGCGCGTGGAACAGTCGCGATCCTGAGCACCGAGTAAAACGCGCGCACTTTCAGCCAAGTTGGGCTTCAGTCGGCAACTGAGTCGCGGCTCGCCGTCGAGACTTCAGGAATCTGCCGGCGCGGCGCCGGCTCTACGCTCGACGCCACCCGCGCTGCAGCCACAGCGCAGCCTCGCCACAACACTCGTGCGTTCGGGAAGAACGCTGTATGCGCCTTCAGATAATGCCTTTGATTAAATACGAATTTTCAGGGAGATTTGCGGCCTTTTCGCCTATTCTTTTCAATATGCAGTATCTGAAAATTTGAAGGAAAAATATTCACACACAGAGTTCGAAACTCACCTTTGAGTTTTAGGAGCCATGTGGCGCATCAAGCCCGATTTTTAGGCGCCATTGAAGATTTTTTAGGGGCCAAATTGACTTTTTGCCTATATATTGCGGCGCATTTAGTGAAAAGTTAGACGCAATATGTTTTCGTAACAGAACTAGTAAGTAGCTGTGACTTGGGGGTATAACCCGCGAAACGCTCAACGCTGCGTCACGACGCAGCGCGAGCACTAATCGCAGCACCAGTTGTGTTTTTCAAAAGACGAAGATCTAAATCAGAAAATTGTATTTTGAATTCGCGTGAGACGCAATTTTGACCCGATATGAATCAAACCATGACATCACTTCCAATTTCTAATACTGATACACCTCACTCGTTGCTATAACGATAGGAGGACTACATTGTGCCACCAGGAACTACAATTTCTGCCTCATTTAAAAACGACGCAAGTGCCATTTTTCCCTTTAGAGATAGGTTCTTCTATGTATGGTCCAGAAATTGTAGTTCCTTATTGCAAAATGCAGTCAGTCCAAAAAAGATTTCCTTTTAGCTGTGACAGTTAATTCATTCTGAGGCAGATTAAGATTAGGTCAAATTTAAGAGGGAAGAAAAGGAAAAAGTAAAATTTTTAGATACGTACCAGCAGAAGGTTATCCAATTGCCCGACGCCAGGCTGAAAGCACTCACAACACTATCACTGAGAAACTGAAAAACTTGGCCATAAAAAGATGTAAAATAATAATTAATATTGGTTGAAGACACAGATTCGTTCGTCTACGCTGATTTAAATTCTGCCCATGTTACATAGTGTTCAAAATGCATACAATAATGAATAACAATAAAATAAAATAAAAATGGTTGAGAGATAATGATTGGTAGTTTTAAGGAGTCGACTGGATTCATATCAGAGATATATAAATGGTAACTCAGTGGTTATTCTTAGTTCCGTGCTCAATTCAAAGCTAACAAAAATAGAGCTTAACCATGTTCCTTATCGTAAAGTCTGATCGTAATTCGAGAAAATATTTGTCATAGGTTCAATAGTCTGATCGCACATGCTACCTGGACGTTTAGCGTCCGGAGGAGGTTATAGAGCATCAACATTTGATTAAATTTTGGTTGGAGGTTATACCGCTGTGAAAGGGGTTCCTAAACCAAATCTGAGTGGATTTCTTACACATTAATTGTTAAGTGGGTAGATAATGGGTTCAGCAACTAACAATGCCTCCCCGCAATATGTAATTGAAGGGAGGGGGGGATGTGAACAGTAATTGGGACTCAAATTGTAAAAATAGTTACCATTGAACAGAGATACAAAAGGATATTTCATTTATATTAAATTTGCACTGTTCCATGGGAACTGCGTATGCAGCCCTTATTTTCAACCAATTTCTACCATATGGACATTTTTTCCTCTCCAATTTTCCTGATTTAACAGAAACATAAAAACCAAACCGTTACGTTCAAATCGGCTTAAAAATCTAAATACGGGTGTGTTTTGATAGATAATATAGCAAACAATTCAGTCACTGACATTTACAATTTTGGTCTTTGAATCTACAATCCCCTCAGATTTCTCGAGGAGATAAAAAATATAGTAAAAATTAATTCGATCTCAGCTCATAAATCTGAATGCGGGGATAGAAGCGCGTTTTTAAGGTCAATGAAATTGCAGACCATTCCGTCACAATAAAAGAAACATTCTCTGTCTAAAGGATCATCATTGTTCTCAAATTCTCTCATTACGAAGTATATCTTAACTAAAGCTTTCGACTCAACTCATAAATCTGCACAACTCAACTAAGGCTTTCGACTCAACTCATAAATCTGTACAAATTAACTAAAGCTGTCGACTCTACTCATGAATGTGCACAACTTACATAAAGCTTTCGACTCGACTCATAAATGTGCACAACTTACATAAAGCTTTCGACTCGGCTCATAAATCTGCACAACTTAACTAAAGCTTTCGACTCGACTCATAAATCTGCACAACTCAACTAAAGCCTCCGACTCGACTCATAAAACTGCAAGGAGGTTAAAACTCGACTCATTAATTTGAAAAAAGCTTTTGGATAAATGCATAAAAATCTGCAAGCTGAAATAAATGTGATCTCGGAAAAGCGTGAAATTCTATCCTGAATATTCAGTTTCTACCATAACCCATACTTTTCTTATATTTCTCCCATCAATAAATATTTGACTATTTCTTTCGCCTCTAATTATAAGGTAATATAAATGCTGATAATACCAATTTTTCCTGTAAGTAGCGTCTGACTCAGCCACTAAGTTTCTAGTGTTTGAACTTACATTCTCCTTAAATTCCTCTCATCTAAGAAAAAAATATAAGAAGTATCAATTTTATTCAACCTGTGATTTTTTGGACTTGCTCTGACAGAGGATCGCAAATTTCGTTAGAATACAGTTTCGTTGTACGCACTCAAACTCCTCTCATAACGAAAATAAAATTGCGTAAAAATCACTTTCAACTCAACCGATACATTTGCATGTTCATGATAATTTACAGAGTGCATCGTAGTTCATATTCATGCTGAGACGGCGGATACTTCTTATGTTACAATCATTTGCAAAGAAAGCTGCTTTTAAAAAAAACATTTAACTCATCTCATATATTTGCGAAGAACTTTTCACCCATCTCATAACTTTGCAAAGAACTTTTCACCCATCTCATAAAGCGAGGAACTTTTCACTCATCTCATAAATTTGCGAAGAACTTTCTTCTCTGCTCATAAACCTAAATACAAACGAATGCGCGTTAAAGCAATTAGTAATAAAAATTCAAAGTCACGGGAGCTCCCGTGATAAGAGGGCTGAGTTTTTCTCCCAGAAATCTTCATTTTTCTCATTATCTCAATCAATCAATCTTCATTTTCTCACTAGAGAAAGAATTCGGGATTTATTTCAACTTAAACTCATAGGTACATTGACACACTGATGAACACGTGTTTGGATGGAGAAAAAAGCCCAATTCGGTCTCCTGATTTCAGTATACAGTTTTAATCTTAAAACATTTAAATCCCTCTCCAAATCGTCATTTGGTAAATTATAAAAATCAATTTGGACTCAACGCAACTCATAACCTGCGGCCTAACAGACACATTCCAGTTTTAATTACAGTCGCAATAAAACTTACCCTCCATCTTGGTGGCTTCTTTCACCTACTCAAATGAGGCTCAACAAATTAGACAGCTATTATCTTCAATAAAACGTAAGGATTATGGATGACAACGACACAACTTTAAAAGCAAATGAATACTCAATGGAAGGATGATTCGTCTTATTCTTGTCTCCGTTCGAAAATTCTGAGGCAAGATTTACTGCTTGCCCCTAAATTAAAACGACAAAAAAGTGAGAGGGAAAAAAACGAGTGAAGGAGACAAAACAGTGATGGAGAAAATGGGAAAATGTGGGGAAAAAGAAGAAAAATAATAAAAAGGAAATAAAAGAAAAAGAGAAAAAGGAAAGAAAAGAGAAAAAAAGAGAAAAGAAAAGAAAAATGAGAAAAAGAGAAGAAAAAGGAGAAAAAGAAAAGAAAAAGAAAAAAAGAAGAAAAAGAAAAGAAAAAGAAAAAAAGAAGAAAAAGAAAAGAAAAAAGAAGGAAAAAAAATAAAAGAAAAAAGAAGAAAAAGAAAAGAAAAAAGAAGAAAAAGAAAAGAAAAAAGAAGAAAAAGAAGAAAAAGAAAAGAAAAAGAAGAAAAAGAAGAAAAAGAAAAGAAAAAAGAAGGAAAAGAAAATAAAAGAAAAAAGAAGAAAAAGAAAAGAAAAAAGAAGAAAAAGAAAAGAAAAAAGAAGAAAAAGAAAAGAAAAAAGAAGAAAAAGAAAAGAAAAAAGAAGAAAAAGAAAATAAAAAGAAGAAAAAGAAAAGAGAAGAGAAGAAAAAGAAGGGGAAAAAGGGGGAAAAAGAAAAGAAAAGAAAAAAAGAAGAAAAAGGAAGAAAAATGAAGTTTGCTACTACTACACTAACTACTTTAACTACACTAACTACACAACATCAAGAAGAACATAAAAGAAAAAAGAAAAACTACTTACCTGAAATACTTACCTACCTGAAACTTACCTGAAAATAGAAAATAAGAAAAAAATACTTACCTGAGATACTTACCTGTAATACTTACCTTCCTGAAAAAACAAAAGAAAAACAAAAAAAAGAAATAAAAACGAACCCCACCTACCTGCCACGGAAAAAAAGGAGTTTGCGTCTGAGACACAAGGCGTAGGTAAAACGACGTTACTTAACCTTCCCTGTGTCTCGTAAATGCCATGTCAGGGCCGGAAACAGCCCTGAACGGCAGTCACGAGACACAGGCATGGTGAAGCAACGCCTTCTCACCGTTCCTCTCGTGTCGCAGACCCGAACTCCTTTTTTCCGTGGCGGGTGACCATGCTCAGATAAAACCCAAAATGCAGCAGCAATCACCCTAAAAGGGTTGATGGGGCGGCCACCATCCAGCGGAAGTCCGGCCAGCGGTCGGGTCGGGTCTGCGTATGGCTCCTACTCGTGCGTCCAACGGTCCGACGTCCAACAGTCGGGCTGACGGCTCGCCGGACGGTCCTTCAGACATTCGGTAGGATAGCATTCTACCGACCTAACTTCACTTTCATCCTATTGTGGGATCTTCAACTATGGAGCGCCATCCATGTCACAGCTGATAATGGTTTTTCACCGGGAATTGTATATTCCTAGGGGCTTGAAGAGGGGCCCTGTGAGTAAAGGGGGCGGACTGGCTGGGAGCCGATCAC